CCGCCGCTCCCCATCCCCTACGTGACAGCAGGAAAGTCAGGAAAACCCCCCCAAACTCGGCGTTCCCGGGAAGATCCTGCTCTGTGCCCAAGGACACCCACGGGCGCTCCCGAAGGGATACGGAGCGAGGAGGAGCCGAAGGGACTGAGCTTGCACAGAGATGCAAAGAGTGGAAAACAGTCAAAGAAAATATTAAAATGCAAAAAATAAATGGGAAATAAAGGAAATGCTGAAAGGGATGGGGGTTCCTGGTGATTATGTTTAAAAATACCCTCCAAAAAGGCTTTTTTGGCACTGGAAAGGGAAGGGGGGTTGCTTTTCCCGCTCACCTGGGGTTTCTTTCCGGTGCAGGAACGTCACCTTCCTCATCACCGCGATCTTGGTCTTCTCCAAACCGTCCTTGGTGCCGCTTTTGGCCGCTTTCATCAGCTGGGTCATCTGGGGAGGGGGAGGAGAGGGATCTGGAGGCTCAGGCAGCACCGGGATCCCATCTCGGATCCGGACGGAGCCGTGTCCTTCCCTTGGGCATCATCCCCCACTCCGGATCCGGATGCAGAGGCACCGTCCCCTTGGGCATCATCCCCGTTTTCCCATGCAGCAGGAAGAAGAGGCACATATCCAGGGCCCATGGATGCTCCGTCCTGTGCCCCATCCATAGGGATGTGGCCACGTGCAAGCAGGCGCCGGCAAAGCAGGATCATGCAGCCAAGCGAAGCAGAGGGAGGGAAGGGAGGCAGGAGCACATCCATCCCCTCCTTGTGCAGGGATTTCATGTGGGGGACAGCAAAGGGGGGGAAGTGTCGGCCTTTCACACCTCAAATCACAGTGTTTCAGCCCAAACTTCCAGCCAAGAAATACCTGGATGGTCTGGGGCTGGGAAAGGCTTTGCACTAAGGTTCTCCCAAAAATCTCCTTCCCCACCCGATTTCCACCACAGATCAGGGGAAAAAAAAACCTTGTCAGATCCATCTATCCCGTGGGAAACCCGGCGCCGTCCGAACGCCCCTTAAAAACAAGGAAACACCCCAAAATCCAACGGTTGGGGAAGCTGGAGGACGGGGAGCTGCAAGACAGATGGACATGAGAGGCAGCTTTGAGGTGCTTCACTGAATTTGTTCCTCTTTTTGGGGGGATGAAATGGGATGAATTCAGCCTGGATAAATTCCATGAGGTTTTTTGACTCCCCCTGGGAAATTTGGGGGAGAAGGGAGGAGGGACAGAGGAGGGACAGTACCTTCCAATCGTACTTCTGCTTCAGCTCCTGCATGTCCTTCCCCCCAACTCTTAAAGCCAGGATGTCCCTCTTAGTCCTGGCGTATCTCTCCTTTAGTCTATTCAGGTCTGGAGAAAGCTGAGCTCAAGCAAACCAGGCGGGAGGAGGAGGAGGAGGAGGCAGAGAAGAGATCCAGGTGAGCAGCAAAAACCAAACAAAGAGCAGAAATCCCCCCAGAGCAGCATGGCCCAGGCAGCACCATCCCAAAAGCCTGGCTAGGCTGGAGCAGGGCAGGGAGCGAGCGCAGGGCAAAGCAGCAGCCAGGCTCCAGCAGGGCCCAAATGCAGAAGGAAAAGGGGAAAAACTGAAAAAGGGAAGGAAGGAGAACAGAAAGAAATGAACCCCCCGGAGTTGGGGGCCGAGCCGCAGCATCCTTCGCGTCACCAGCCACGGGAGCAGCTGGGCTTGGTGCTCCACTACCTTTGGACAAGCAAACCCAGGGAAAAACAAGAATAATGGTCCTAAAGGCGTGATCCAAGGGTTACCTTGGGCTGGAAGGACGCTCGGTGCTTGGTGGGCTCAGCTTTGGTTTCCTCCCCCGAGTCCTCGCTGTAACTCTCGAACTCGCTGGAGCTCCAGCCCAAATCCTCGCTGATCCGGGAGCCCTCTCCCCGCTGCACCTCCTCATAGATCAGGCTCCGCTCCCTCCCTGCTCCTGCCAAGGAAAATCCGGCTCCTTTTCCTTACAGGAAGGCAAATTCCCTTCCTCAGGGACCCACAGGAGACACACCAAATCCTCGCATCTCCCTCCCAGTCCCACTGGTTTTCCCACAGTCATCCC